GATATCCTAAGGTTCACAAACGGACACCCTCTGTCCCCTGGTTGTGCCTAGAAATTATTTCCATAAATGTAATGAATATTTTTTCCATTTAGTAATTCATCAGGTATGACAAATATCTGGAACTGGATATTTGCATGTTTTTGAGTCTGTGTGGCTCAAGCACATGAATTTCATAGGTGCATCACATTGAGGGTTTGGATGATTTTGTATCAAGGGAAATGTTATGGTACACTCTGGACATATAAATGAACACAATAGATATATGACTGTATTTGAGATTACCTGAAAAGAAAAATTTGCCCAATTTCTTATTACTGCTCATCTGATCCACCTGCTCCTGCCTCTATTTAAGCTGCTTGGTCCCAGTTGTCAGCGCCAGATTGTTCTTGAGTGTGAGTGTTTTCTAGTGTTTCTAGTGTTCTGATTGCCTGATCCTGACTTGTTTCTGTCTTCATATATGTGAGCCTGCCTGCCCCTGTCTAATCTGTTTGCCTGGCCTTTCTTCAGATTCTGTTTGATTCTATTGTGGACTGAACCTGGATCTGCCTCTTGACTTCGCACCCCTGGATTATACCTCCTTCCTCCTTCATCTGCTCGGATCTGATCTCCTGTCAGTTCTTTGTCCATCACAGCTTTGGCATCTGGAACTCTCTGTGCGACAAGTGTTGCGTTTTGTCGGCTGACCGGCTGGTATCAACCGCGTTCTCTGGGCACAGACCAAACTCTAAACTAGGTTAGCGACTCACTCAGATCATCCTCCGTCAGGTTTTTCGTGGTCACCAACCCGTGTTTCATTTCGCCAGAGTAACCTACCTCGGATGTCCTAATGCTGCTGCTGCAGATCCACACACCATCCGTTGTAGCTTTAATAAAGGCTTTTTAGGTTAACCCACTGTCTGTCCTACCTGATTACTGGGTCACTCTGTTCTGAGACATTACAGCTTCCCTTTATTCTCATTTTTTATGAACAACCTTGAAGCAGTTTCGGTGCGGCACAAAGCACAGGTTGATGTTGCAATTATCACAAGATGTGTCTTTTTCTTGTACTGGTCTGCAGGGCACATGGTGTTGTCCTAAAGACATAATGGGTCTTCTGCATTTTGCTTCCACTGTTTTATGGACGCTCACCAGACACTGGGCTAAATTCATCTTGATGTTTGCCCTCTTTGCGTCCAGCCTGTATTCAAACCAACTGTTGGCCACAGCCATGTTAAAAGTTGGAAGCCATGAAAAGTTAAGAATCCATTGAGAGTAACTTTGTTTGGCCATCATTAACATGAATTTATATTTTTGATTGAAAAGGGCCCCTTACTCTTCCAATTCCTGAGGCGCTCTGCCATGTGTGTTGTGTCTGATGGCTGCCCTCCTCACAGAATAGCAATAGAGCAATTAAAACAGTTAATCCACTAAAAAAAAGTGTTGCATTATACTATACTAGGGCTTATCTGGATTGATATTTACCCCAAAAGCTAAACACAGAGGAAACTACATCCATGATACTGGAATTTATGCCCAATCTAATCTCAAACTCATTTTAAAAGTCTCTGAAAAGTAACCACACTAAACACTCACATTATAGATGAGTAAACTGCTAGATTAATTTAGCAGTTTTTTAATTAATTCACTCTGACTTGACAATAAAATTATTGAACTTGCCATATAACTTAGCGTTTTGTAAGAAGGCTGATAGCACAATGCAATAAGCCTGTAAAGCCTTTTGAACTGCATCATCCTACCAGTTCCTGATAGCTTTGGTTGGTGCAGAGGCTACCCCCCGGCATAAAATCTTAGATACCATCGAAACAATAACAGTTGATGCAAAAGACTGCACAGCAATTATGTAAACCGTTTCCAAAGAACCACCAAAACGGTGCCGTAAGATTGATTTTGCAACGTTTCTGACCACCTCTTTTCATCAGAACATGATATGTTAATTTTGAAATCTAAACAGCAAAATATGTAAACTTACATCAATAAGTTTTTAGCAGGTTTGAAGCATGGGGAAAAAGAAATGATGTAAAAACACCAAAGCAGCTGTGAGGCGCAAAGACCTCCTTTCTCTTAATATGTAACTATTAAGATAAGAGGCAGGTTCCTGCATGGTGTGTGGCGTTACCTCTGTGATGCATGATCAGAGACGCCACTGGACGTGTGAACAAACAGTGGAATAAACAGCAGTTCACAAACCAACAATGTTATCAGCAGTTCAACAAAGAAAACTTAATTGCAGAAAATTGAAATAAACTAAAATCACCTTTAAATCACAAAATTACCAGCCTTAAATAGTAATATTATAAGTTTAACTATTAACTGTATTTTCATCTACCTGCAATGATGCCTCCCACCTTGGGATCAGCTGGATAATCTATGTTGTTACAGTGCTTTGCAGAAAGAATACATTATGTCAACAAAGTGTTTCTTTGGAACATAACGTGTTAGTCAAACATAAAATAATGCATGATCGTAGATATTTTTTCTGATGAAAAGTACGAAAAAAAAAAAAAACTTCCCCACAGCATGATGTTACCACCACCGTGTCTTACAGAACAGTTGATTCAGAGTGAGGAGGGACAGTTATAGAACATTTGGATGTAGATCAGAAAGCTCAGTTTTGATCTGATCTGACCAGAGCTCCTATTTTCCCAATGTTTACTGAATCCGTTTATTTTCTTGCAAATGGCTGCTTCTCCATAAAAGCTTGATTTGCAGAATCAACAGATTCTTTATCTGGAAAAAAAAAGGGATAAATACTAAATACATAACATCCAATAAATTAACAAAAACTATTGGTTGCAGCGTGACAAATGTAATAAAGTTTACATGGTGTTAATAGTTTGGTAAATCACTGTATAAAAATAAGACATAGCATAAACAAATGATAAATATTACCAGTCGCTAAATCTTTGGTATTTGTAGGATGTTGCTTCTCATCAACACCCCATCAGGCAGGAGGAACAAGCTCTTCTCTTTCTCTCCCCTACATCTAACTGCGTCTCTCTCTCTCTCTCTTGCTCTCTCTCTCTCGGTCAGTATGATCTGTCTCTTTACTTCCTCCTTTTTGGAGTGGCTGAGCTGAATACAGAACACAGGATATGCTTCTCAGTTTCGCAGCAGTGGCAGCAGCAGGAACAGCAGCAGCAGCAGGAGAGGCGGTGGATCAGCCGTGAGAACGACACACTCTGCAGCCAAGATGAGTGCCGGGGATGTGGTGTGCACCGGCTGGCTCATTAAATCCCCCCCTGAGAAGAAGCTGAAGAGATTTGTAAGTACAGAGGCACAGCTGAGACACTTGTCTTTGTCCTCTGGTGGGACACTGAAGGGGAGGCTGTGCTGTTTCACCTTGCGTTTGTGTCTGTGTAGATTCATACTCACACTCTGACTTGGACATGCTTATTGTCATTCCAGTCTCTTTAACACTGTCTTTCTCACTTCACTCCTACACCTACTACATGCAGGGCTGCTAAGCAGATGAGTCCAAATGCACATGGATACAACTCCTGTAGAGTTAGAGTGTACATGCATGTATGTGCTCTCCTGAACAGCATCCAGCCTTCATTGTTTTGTGGTTGTTGGGGTCATGTGATGATGTTGGACTGCTGTGTGCGTGTGCGTTTTTGTAGGCTGACTGTGTGAATTGTGAAACATGGGAAGCAATGTCAGCAGCAGTCAGACACTTAAGCGACAAGCAGAAATAGTCCTGCTTTATGATGGCTGTTTTTGCACTTCCTCTGCATGAGTGGAGGAGGCGGAGGGCCATTTGACAACAGCAGTTCAAGGAAAGCCTGGGTGGTGTTGTGTGAGCCTATATGCTGAAGTGGTAAGGGGTTTCGGGCCTGAAATAGAAACTTATGCAAATCTTGCTTATTGTGTTTCATTATTACTAATAGAGCTAGATAGAAAGCCTTGCTGTTCTCCTCATTCAAATGTGAACTACTGGCATAGTGTGCAGTGGAAATTTCAATTATCTTGCTTTAAATAACCTTTATGCACCATGCTGCAGCACTGTTAATGCAACATGAGGTTTTGTTTCTTTGTGCACAACACATTATTCTGTGTGATTGTAACAGTTGGAACTGACCTAAAGATACAAAATAATTTAAGATATTTTTTGTCACATTACCACCATAAACCTTACTGGATATTATTAGAATCATATGTCTTCACCAACACAGAGTAGAGAATGAAAGCAAAAGGATTTTATTTGGTATATAGATGATAATGTGAAAGTTGTGCAGCATTAAGGCCTCATTAACTGCAATTACAGCTGACACTTTGTTCCTGGAGTATTTCTCTTCACTTTTCCAAAAAAGAGTAGTTGTTACCAATTCTTCTGGAAATAAAAACTGTTAAAGCTCAACATCTGCTAACATCAATTTCTAACTTTTACCAGAGTCAGTTAAATTTAGGGTTTTACTGGGCCATTTTAACACATAAAGATGCTCTGATTTAGGATGCAAACATTTTTTACTTTAAGATGATCTGTTTATACTATTGTGTTGGTCTTCCACCACACATAGATTTTGGTCCCATCTGACCAAAACTCTTTCTTCTATGTTTCCTTTAGTGGTAAGCTGTAAATAGAGCTTATTTCTTTAATCAGGACTTCACTTAATCTCTGTCTGCCATATAAGAAGGATTTGGTTTACACAACTAGTATTTGTCCTGTTGATAGATTTCCGCACCTGAGCTGTCAAGCTCTGCAGCTCGTCCAGAGTAATCAAAAGGACCCAAGGCTGCTTCTCTCAATTCCTGATAGGTTTTGCAAGCTATTTTAGAAGTTAACCCTGTTTTAAACTCCCTCCTTTATGTGATTTCAAAAGACAGTTCAGGCCGTGTAATTAAAGGGGATGAATACAACTGCAGCCACACTTTTCAGAATTTTTATCTTGAAATTAATTGATTTTAACCTTTTTAACAAAAATGCTAAAAAGTTTAACCTCTGAGAGGGACTGTTAATATGCACTAATATGCAAAATATATCAATTAGGTTGTAGACAGAGGAGAGTCTCAACCTGGCAAAATCTTTGTGAGTCAGTGAGTAATTTCTACAAATGCACAAACGAGCCAGTTGGGAATTGAGATGTCAGAACGTGACCAGAGTTTATTTTGGTCACATGATGGTAAAAATGTTAACTTCATCTAAAAAGGATGAACCAGAGATGCATGGAAACACTTTGTAAGCATCATGGGGTTTACCTCGAAAAAAATGCTTTTTCTTTTGACCTTTTGCCAACATTACTGCAAAGTGCAGAAACTGCACTTTGTTGTAACATGAAAAAAACACGTTATTGTATATTTCTCTGTAAATAGATGTTATACAAACATCTAATCACCACCTTTGCAATTGTGTTTTTCTCCTGAAAGATTGAGCTGGATATACAAAGCAACTTATTTGCAGCTCAGCTCAGAACTTTGCATATGGTGAACACCACTGGATCAAACTGCCATCTGTAGTTATGGTTTCCTCTTAAAACCCAGCAGTGTTTATTAGCACAAAATGTGTTGCAGGTCTACCCATTTCCTGGTAAGAGCACATAAGTTCAGGGGGGGTTGGTTTGGGGGTGACACAAACAGAAAACAAAATGCATATTTTATGTGTTCTCATCTGACCCCCAACAAAACACACTAAAAAAAACATAAAGCCTATAAGAAATGATTAAGCTTACCTAACATGATTTCATAGCAATATTTTATTTAATAACTTAAATAATAGCGTTTTACTGTGAGTGGTTAATTTCTGACAGAAATAGGACATATTTCCTTAGGCAGTTGCTTATTATAATCTTTCAGTAAAGTCTAAACCCAGTTTTCAGCTTAAAACAAGAGATACATAAATACCTTTCGTTCTGTTAAACATTTTCTGCTAAATAAAGTCAACTTCCTCTTCTCAGCACTTCTGGGAAACTGGAGCTGAGGTTCCGTTTACTGACCAAAACAAAAGCAAAAAGAAAAAAAAAAGTTTGAAGCTGTTAAGTTTGCTGCAGGGAGCAGAGCTAATGATGAGACTATCTGATCCTGAACAACAACAAAGCAACAACAGGGTTCTGAGTAACAGAGCAGCTGAAACCATGCTGCAGCCTCAGCGCAGAAACAAACACCAATAATAATAACATGATAAATAAGTATTAAGGTGCAAAACATATTATACCATAAGTATAATTTGGTATGATACAGTGAGTTAAATTAAAAACTTTATAATTTTTTTAGAGCTCATTCAAATTTTTGACCCACAAAAACTACAAAATGAATCCTTACCTTAAATACTGGGCTTATAAATATACCCAATTTAATTAGTAAGATGAGCAAGATAAATATAACTTTGTCTACTTAAGTTGCTTAACTCTTTACGGATCCTTATTTATATCTCTGCAGTATGGCAATCCTCGCTTCTAAGCCAAATCTGTTTAAAGATAAACCTCGCCCAACATGAAGGGCCTGATATTGGAAAGCAGAGATATTTTCTTCAGTTTCAATAACCAAAACTAAGCAGGAAACGATCGGTATCGGTGAATAAAACAAACAGAGTTACCTTTTTGAGTTCCGTTCAGGATCTTACAAAATATGAACAATTCCAATTGGTGTTTTTATTTATTGATTTTTATTTTTTTATTGAAATGCAAAAAAGGAAAAATAAGATGCATGCTCTCTGATAGAAAAATGCATTGCATTGCATTCTCTATCATCTTTATATGATGTTTATCAAACTCAAAATAGGTGCCTTAAATTAAACAGTGCATTTATAGTGGAAACATAGTAGGAGTTTTAATATTTGATGCATTTAGTGTATAAGTAAAAAAGATTTGAGCTGCCAACCACCAACCAAAGTCTATTAAAGGGAAAATATTTAATTCTGATCCCTGACTGATCGATGGTGCATCTTTTAACATAGTGGCTTTAATTGTATTGCAGTATAGCAGTATTATTTTTCAAAGGGGGCAAGACATTATGTTAAAAAATACAATTGGTTGCATATAAAAAAATTTGATGGAGGTAGAAGATCTAGCATGAGAAATCTGCATGTACTTATAAATTGAAAGTCTAAAAAGTAATGCTTTTTCATTACCTTACAGGAACGCTGTTATTTACATAGCTTCCTTCCAGGAGTTAAAATTCAAGAAATTGCAAGCAAGGACAATAAAACTGCATTCATTACACATAAAGGATTTCTTTAAAATAAATGTAAATATAAAATGTTCAAATATGTTTTAATTAAAACTGCAGCATTCCTTTCCTTCTACCTGCAGGCGTGGCGAAAGCGCTGGTTCGTGCTCCGGACGGGGCGCATGTGCGGCAATCCAGATGTGCTTGAATACTACCAGAGCAAAAACTCCAAAAAGCCCATCCGCACCATCGACCTAAAGGAATGTGAGGTGGAGATGCTTGACAACCAGCTGCGGGTAAAGCGGGACTTTCATGGGAAGCACCTCTTTGTGGTGAAAACATCATTCCGTGTTTTTTACCTGGTTGCAAACACTGAGGAGGAGATGAACAGCTGGATCAGCAGCATCAGCCAGATTTGTCGTTTCGGGACCATGGAGGAGGCAGGTAGATACTGAAATCTACTTTAACTTTTCTTATTGTGTTCTTTTTTTGCACCTAAGCTATAATTTAAAGAGAACTTATCTTAAAATTATACCTGCTTTATTGAAGAACAAAAAAAAAATCTGTCTTCTTCATGGGAACAACTAAAAAAGTGGTAGCATTTGTTCTAACTCAGGAAGTGGCAAACATAGAGGTAAACTTTATGAGGTCAGGTCTGTTTGTCTTGTTCCCTTTTCAGCTTTTGGTAAAAACACAAAGTGAGTCAGGTTTCCAACAAGAAGTTGCAGTTTGCCGGCTGTAAACACGCAGTGCCTAGCAACTTTACCATCTTCTTCTTCGTTAAACTGCTTCTCCTAATTAGTCACATTAGAGCCATCAACTAAAAGTATTCTACTGGGATGTTTTAGTGATTCATTAACCATAAAAAATTGAATCGAATGATGTCAAATCACGTCAAAAATGATTTTAAAAAAGTGGTGAGGATCATTGATAATGCAGCAAACCACTTCTGAAAGATGTAGACCTCTGGAGTTTTCATGGTTCAATTCCCCACCCTGGTCCAGGAACGGCATGCCTTCCTCTTTTCTAACTGCACATCTTCCTGTCAAACTACAATTAACAAACGGCACTGGACCACAGAAACCTCTGATTCTTTGCGGCAAAACTAAAGCATAGTCAGATTTCACTCGATCAGCCACCGTTATTTTCCCTCTGAAGGAAAAACCTGCAGCATGATGCTGCCACTAATATTTCTCACTTTCGCATTGCTGAACAGTTTGAGTGACAATAATGTAAATGTATGCATTGCTACATAGTAAAAGCAAGCTATTATATAAAAAAAAAACAACTAAAAAACTAATCCCAATGTAATAAAGTACTATAAACACAGGATGGATGACACAAAGAGACAGATTCTGGACAATTTCTCTGAATTACCTTCTCCTTTTAGTGTGAGTCAATTTTTGTGTAGGTTTGTTTAAGTTGATTTACAGCCTTCCTTCAATTTTTGAATGAACAGTGCACCTTGAAATGTAGTTGTTTTGGGCATTTTTTTTCCACTAGTGGCAATTTGTAGCAGACAAACGAAGAGAGAAGGAGAGGACATGCATCAAAGGGTCTGAGGGTTGGGATTCAAACCACCTAGCCTCTGTATATAGTTATGTGCTTTTATTTTGAAGGTACCGTATCTAAATGAGAGAGTCCCTGAGGCCAACATAACAGAGCTTAGGTGACCCTAATGTGCTTACTTTAACATTTATTTACAACTTCACAACTTCATCATACTTTTATTCAAAACTGAAAAACAGTCATCTAAAGCCAAAGTCAAATAATTGATAAAATTTTCAACTCTTTAAAAAATCAAATTCAACTGTGCAAATTTGTTGTTTTTTTAATGTTTTTTTTTTATAACTCTGTGTGGATATAAATAGACAGACAGACAGACCCACAGCCTGGTGTAATACCCCCTCCTGGGATCTTAAAAAAAGCAACTAGAAACTTTACCATCTGGAAATGCATCAATATTTTGAGAAGTATGGCTTTGGCAGTTTTGGCTTATTAACAGACTAGCTTATGATGACATTGTTTATAATGAATAACATTTTTTTCCAAACATAGGTAACCCAAAAAATCAAAATATCAAAATTAATATGATAAAATAGAACCATAAACATTATTATGTGTAAATCTGGCTAAATCCCTTGGTACATGCTCAGCATCAGAGTAAAATTTCTTTTAATGTGAAAAACCGTGATTGACCATCCATTAAATGAACCTCTGCTTCTTTAATTGAACAGCTCCATGAGAAGCTGGGATTTCTGCTTCCCTCTGCTCTAAACTGAATAGCTTCCTCCTTCATCCCTTTAATCCTGCTCATCGGTCCTCAAAAATAAACGGTTAACTGTGTTTAAAAAGCTCAATGATATATTTTAGATTCCAATCGGGGCAGTTATGCAAAATTAGCATCTTACTGATACTTAGAACCAACAATTTCAATTATTTCAACTGTTAATTTGTGTTATTTAAATGTGAACAGAAGTTGGGTCTCAGCTGAGTTTATTTGTTAATAGTTTGCTCCTTTTCGTACAAAAACAAGTCTGTACTTGGAAACACTGCCTCCATTTTATTTAAATGTTTGTGATAGATAAGATCTTCAATCTCACCTGCTGTCATCTTAAATATATTTTACAAGATAACCAAAGTTTTAAATCTATCACTTTCCAAGGGTTGTTTGCAGAGAACTTTGAAATAAATGTCAAAGTTCATTACTTTATGCAACCATTTAAGATATTCTCTAACAAAACTATTTAACTTTTTTTTTCAGTGTGAGTAAACTAATATAAAGTTAAGCTGCCCAACAATAAGACTGTATGAACTGTAGCTGCTGAATAATATTTGTAGTGCAACCTGTTTAACTTTATAAATCCTTAATCTCAAAAAGCTAATTTGTTGAACAGGTGAGGTAGCCTGTCTGCTGCTGCTGCTGCATGTGCAGCATATTAATCTCATCTATATCTGTTCTGGACTGATGCAGAAAGAAGATATTCAGCATTCCTGGCAACACTTTAAAAGTCTCTATCTAAACATGTGATTTAAATGTTTTACTCCTACATATTTTAAACCTCCACAAAGTCAAAAAAAATAATGCAAGCTTCCAGAAGGATTTCCTGTTTGACATTTTAAAAGAACACCATTAACAATACAATCAGCACCTGTAATAGCAGCCATAATGCTCACTTTTCTACAGTAAAACATGTTTGATGACACAATTTAACTGTCAATATATCTTGCCGGGGTTTATAAACATATTAGGACAGTGCAGCCGTATTCAACCCTAAGGCACCAACAATTTAAGAGCTGGTTATGATGTTGAATTTAAAGGCACCTAATAGAGGAAGGGATCTGAGTGCTTGAGATGGTTGCAGTCCAGACTGTTTTCACACTGCAAGCATTCACCAAAAAAATCATTTTGCTTTTCATCTGATCTATGAAACCCTCTCATTAATTCTCCACAACTGAGCTCTGAAACCAACTCCACAATCTCACGACATTAAACCGCAGCTACAACCACCAGAACTATCTCACTCCTCCCCACAGCAGCAAACAACCCAACTGGTAAAGTTTGCTCTATTTTTAAAATTCTAACTAATCGGTGTGGAAAACATTTGCAGAATTTAATGCCGGTAAAGTCAAACTCGCTGGACGACCAACCGCATCCAGCCTTCTGTCTGCAGATCAACTGGTGTGGCTAGAAGTAGGTTTCCAGCGGTTAAAAACGTTTTGCCTGCTGCTTGTGGTGCAGCATGATGTCGCTTCTTTATCAGAAGAGATAACAGCAGAACCGCTGGGGGCCCTTTAGCAGCTAATCAACTGTCATTTTGTGTTAGTTTCGAGGTGGCTAAGTTCATCTTTGTTCCTTTTCCTTCAGTATCTACAGCAGCCCTTTCTTTTGCACTTCGAGGTATTATAATTACAAACAATAATGTATTTTATGTTAATTCAATGGAGTTAAGTGACATAGTCAAGACGACACTATTTAAATCTGCGAAGAGGAAAATAATGACCAAATGTATACTGATTTCCTTTTCCTGTAAGTCCAGTATGCCCACTGCATGATGCTGCCACCATCATGTTTCACTGTGGGATGTTGCAGCTCAATATGAGGTTTTGCATGCAGTCTAAATTTTGCCACATGTATGATGCAACACCTAAACACCTTTTGGAACGTAAGACTTCTTATGGCCTTTTAATAAACTAGTTTTTTTCTTGCAAGTCTTTCACACAGGCCATGTTTCTGTAGATCTCAACTAATAGTTTTTATGTGCAGAGATTCCTCCAGATGAGCAGTGGATCTCTGCAGCTCCTCCAGAGTTGTGTCATAGTTTTCCAGGTTCTGTTGATGGGTCAGACAATGCTCTTTGATTCTTTGATTCCTGCTTCAGATTTCTCCATAACTAAATAAAATGAACTAGTAGTATCTTCGCTTTGCACTGGATTTAATTTAAGTTTTTAAGACTAAATGGTGCAGAATGTGGATAAATTCTCCACTTTTCAGACAACAAACAATTAAATGCTACTTTATAAGAGTCTAACACAAAAAAAACTTATTGAGATAGACTTCAAAAGACGCTTTATGTCAGTACTTTGTTAAGCACTATATAATTAGCTGGGAAGTTAGTCCTCAGCGAATTCATCAGAAGAAAAGCTCAGCAGGGATCTGATGTAAAACCTCAAGAACGCTGACATCTGCTTGAACAACATAGAGCAACAGCATAAAGTTGTTGTAATTACAAAAATTTCTCTGTTCTAAAGAATTGAAATGTTTTTTTTTTAAACATGACCACAAGACAATGTAAACCTCTGGTGAGGGTAGCAAGTGGTTTCCTGAAAACATGTCCTCTGGTGTTTTCTTTTTTTTTCTTCTAAAACACGGTTCTGCAGGGGTTGCCTTGACTTGAAGACCTTGAGTCAAATGGAATGAAAGAAATTTCTGAACAAGAGCCAAAATGAGAGAAAGAGAGACAAAATATCCCCCCTAAAAAAAAAAGAAAAAAGGGAAAGGGAAACATGTTAGTTGGCCTTCGGTGTTCATGCAAAAACATCCCCTTTTATTTCACCTGTTGCATTCAGATGGAGGTTGAGTTTTTCTCTGCAGCTTTCATGTTAGTTACAAATAAATTCTCTGTGTCCTTTTCTGCTTGTTTTCTATCAGAGAGCACAGATGATGGCTCTTCTCTTACCCCCACCTCCATTCAGCCATCGGTGGACAGCGACCGAGCATCTATGGCAAGCCAACCAGACTGCAGCTATCCACCAGACTATCTCCTTCTCTCACAGTGTGAAACACGGAGTATAACCACTAGGTTTGTGATATCAGGAAAAATGAAACATGTGTTGGAATCAGATTGCCTGCTAATGTGTAACAAGTGTTTTTCTCTTTTTGTTTTATGTCTGTAGACAAGACAGCTTCTCGAACTCTGACATCTCTTTAGAGCAGAGGTTATCAGACGAAGCGGCCAAGGACGCGCACGCCGAGTCCTCCTCATCCTCTTTTTCTCATATGAGCCCCAGTCCTTCCCTTTACTCCAATGGAAGGATGGCTCCTTTCAGCGCTCCATGCAGCTTCCCAGTTTTGCCTTCTTCCTCCTCTTCTCCGCTCCACCACTGTGCAGCAAATGTCTTCCAGTTTGACAAACCTTTCCCTTCCAGCCCCTTTGAGGCAGCTGGGGACGCCCAAACGCCACCGCCGCTACCGCCCAAACCCAGCCACCTGTCAGAGCTGCTAAATAACGGAGTAGCTCACAGGTCAAAGACATTTTATGCACAGCATTTACCTGTCAGTGCGCCAGTGTTTTCCAGGAGAACTTCATTGTCCAGTTTGGATCATTTCACTATGGGTATGTTTTCAAAAAAAGTTTACATTTGGTCCTAGTGCCAAAAGAACATTTAACACTCTTGATATTAAATTTTACATCAGTACCCACAATATTTTTGATGCAATGCTAAAAAGGAGCAAACACTGCAGCAGAACGCCATTTCTCATTGTCCAGACTTACACCCGCAACAGAAAGCTATGTATGTCCTAAAAATAAAAACTACCAATGGCTGAAATGTTCTTAAAGGGTTGGATATCAATTCGGAGTTTGATTTAATGTTTTCTTATCTCATCTTTTCAGGTAATCCTGAAAGATTATTGAGGAACAGGAGACAAAGCGTTAATCTGGTAAGAGGACTTTCTGTTGTTATTGGGAATATGGCGAAGGAATTGCCCTTTACTATTTACACATAACACCCCAAGCTTATCCAAAACATCATATGCAAAACATTACCTATCGTCACTTATGTGGAATATTCTTCTCTAACACTGTGCAATAACACATGCCAACTACTGTGTAGTCTGTACCATTTTCACTTATTTATATGGTCAGTAAAGTGTGCAATAATCCAGGTCAACTTCTATGTAGTCTTCCCTTTGCTCTCTACAGTGCAGATATTTTTATATCAAAAGGAAACTTATTCCAGGACATAACTTTTTTCTTGTCTTTATCCTTTTTTTGTACTATATACACTCTTTTTATATCGTCTGTCTTATTTTTATCTTTAATGACATCTTGCTTTAACTCTTAGTTCTCTATATAAGCTACTGGAACCAGGATTGTCCTGAAGGATTAATCCCAAGGGATAAATAAAATATAATCAAAGCTTCAGCTGCGTGAAGATTTGCTTAGTAAAGCGCAGCACTGTCCAATATAGATGGATCTATACATATAGCCGATATTTATGACATTTAATTGCATTTATTTAATTTTTTTCCCATGTCTGTGTTGGGCGACACATGCATCATACTGTATATTTTCTGATACATATGTGCATTTAGCAGCCTTGCCTTGAGATCAAGTGAAACACATGCATTTCTGCTCCCTCGATATGCTAACCATTATGAATCTTATGTTTCATGCGTTGTTTGTGGAGAAAACTGTATGTGTCAAATTGCATTTGAAGTTTATAAAGGACAATGGTAGGCAGCTTTTTTAACGTAAAAACAAAGAACCTCTTAGAGTTCAGTGTTCTCCCCTGTCACACTTAACTAGAGCTGAAGAGTAGATTCGATTGTTGTTGGTATGGTAAATATTAGTCTTTTCTAAGAAAGGACCATCTGAATACAATATATGGTATTTCAATATTTACAGTTCTTGATGGACAACAGTCCTGTAGATTTTAGTGGGTCACAGAGAGTGGAGGGGAAATTGTGACACTTCACAAGAAAAGAGTGAAGATGTTGGTTATTTGCAACAGACATTATAATTGCATAACGCAAAAAAACAGAGTGCACAGCAAGCTGTAGTTTAATATATCAAGGAATTTGCAGCAAAGAGTCTTGGTGTTAAGAAGTCTCTAGATCTAAATGCTAGCTTTAGAATTTTAGGAATAATATCAGGAGACTCTTTTGACACTGCTGCACACAACTTTAATAGCGAAGGCAGAAAATATCTAAGTATAGCTCGTCGATTGAAAGTTAGCACCTTTAAAAAGATGTCCAGCTGTCAAACCCTGTTTGCAACAATGGAAACAAAAAAACTTACATTGACCGTTAGGTATTGCAGGTATTGCAGATTTATATCAATGACCTTCACATAAATGTATAATCATCTCCCAGAGTCCAGTCCTCTGAATCTTTTTTATCTTTGTATAAGTAAATATTTCTCATCTAGATTTCAGTAATAATGCTGTGCTGGTAGATGGTAATAACCTAAACATTAAATGGCTAACTAACTTGCAAAAGGCAGCTGTTCTCTGAGAGCTGTAGCCGTAGCCTACTTGTCTTGCTTTGTTTCCTTAGAGTCATAAATGTTTCAACACACAAATAATGATTTCTTTTTTTTTTAAAGTCAGATACAAAAATAAAATAAATAGTGCAAATGATTTTGTGTGGCATACAAAGCTAGAGTGGGCAAACTCAGAGAAGGCTGCTTTCTGTTCTTTTGCCAAGCCGGCACAGATACGGCTAAAATAATCCTTAAAAATATCTACTTTGAGGGGCCTTTTTTCACAGCTACAAAAAAGATTTTTATGTGTGAGTAAGAGGTGAATGTCTTATGGTGAAAGCTTTCTAAGAGTGTGCAGATTGTTTTTTCTCTGCTCTACAAAATCACTGTAATGTACCTGTCTGATCAAATCCTCCTTTGTCTCTTTTCAGCCCTGTTTAAACACTGTGCAAGTTCAAAGTAACCAGGATGAGTCGTACATCCCCATGGCGTCCTCTTCCCTCTCTCTAACATCTGTCGAATGTGACAGTTACATCCCAATGAGTCCCAGGACTTTCAGTTTCCTCGGTGCAAACTGCGGAGCCGAGTCTGCCTCATCGCTCAGCCCATTAAAGTGCCAACCTGGAGAAATCGCACCGCCTCCAATTCACCGGCACCTCAAGCCTCGCTTACGGAGAGGTGAGAATAATTTCAGGTCTGACTGTGAAGAGAGCAAAATTAGGGCTAATTTTTGTACCACAGCAAATGTTGACTATAAACGAAACACTGAAAACAAGAGTTCACACTTTGAACATCTTAACATTTCATAAGATGAAATCACTAACAGTGCATTTTATTAGGATTTTATTTGACAGAACTAGTGTTTGATTATGTTGGGAAATTTAAATGATGCATGGTTTTGATATTAGTTTTATGGATTAAAATGTGGTGTTGCTTTGTATTCAGCCCTCCTTTGGCTAATAATTTGAAGACAAGGGGACAAGAACATCTCGCCTGTTTAGCCAGGCCAACAATTCCCGCTAATAACCCCTTTTTCAGAGGCAGAGACCAGTATCGGGTATTGCAGGCTAACAAAGAACCCAAACGACCCCCCTTCCTAAGGGGCGGACCCGTTCGTCCGGTTCAATTTGCATGTTTTCTAAGTCAAAACAAGCCTTTTGTTTTTGGTTCACTATATAAAGCCTAGAACTCAACTCTAATTCTGACATTTTGAATTTAAAAAGCTTCCTGGATACGAAGCGAAACGTCTTCAAACTTGGAAACAAAGTCCAGTGGATTGTTTTTTTTTTTACTTTTTTGGAATGCTTTGTAGAACCACCTTTTAAATGTATGTTTAACAGGTCTTTCAGGGTATGTCTCTAGCAGCTTTGCATGTCTAGAGACTGAAATGTTTGCCGTGTTGCAAAATAGCTCATGCAAATTCAGACTGGATGAAAAGCATCTGCAACTATTGATTTTCATGTCTCACCACAGATTTACTTCTTGATTTAGACAGAGGGACATTAAGGCGGCGTTAGTGTTTGTGTACTGCTGAAAACAACAACAACAACCTTCTCCGCCCTCTCAAGTCTTTCTGCATCATAATGTGGATTGTTCTGCACCCCACATTATGATGCTCCCACCATCGTGGGTGTGGGGATGGTCTGCTCAATTTTTGGCCACACACAGCTCTTTATGTGGTCACCAAAAAAACCTAAAACAACCTTTGTTCTTCTACATGTTTGCTTTGTCCTGAATATGACTTAAAGTTGTACTGGATTCCTTGGAGCATTTTTCCTGTCACTCTTTCACAAAGAGCAGTTTTAAGTCCATTATATATTCACGTCTCCAGACACTTTTTCATAACAAGGACTCCACCCCCTCAGCTCTTTTAATGAGCCAAACAGCAAGTCTAGTAGTTTGATGTGTGTGGGTTTTTTTATTATTATATTATTATTATTATTATTATTATTATTATTATTATTATTATTATTATTATTATTATTATTATTATTATTATTATTATTATTAATACTTTTATTATTTTTGTTTGATGTGTGTTAATGTACAACGGAGTATTAGGGCCAGGCTAGAGATTTTGTTTTCTTCTATTTCTAGAATAAAGTCATAACACTAAGAGAGTATAGTTGTAAAATTAAGAGAATAAAGTTATAAAATTTCAAGAATAAAGTCATAACATTAAGAAAATAAAGTCAAAACATTAAGAGAATAAAGTTGTAATATTACGAGAATTAACTCCATAAGATTACGAGAATCTGAAAAGGATGGCTAACTATAGGATATTAAGTTGCCTTTTTTTGTTTTGTTTGTCAAGTTATTGTCTTTGGGTCACACCTAAGTGTTTTTCCCCTTAAATTTATTTAAACATGAAGTGTTCTATTAAAGTAAAAGCACATATACAGTTTTTCTGTAAAGCCCCTGTATTTTTATTTGTTTACAAGTACAAAAATAGAAGTTAAACTGCGGTTTGTTTGACTATAAAAGAGGGAAATTCTACCTAGTAGGTATTTATACATCTTTTGTTGAAAGGTCATGTTGGTTTTGCAGCTGTAGATTAGTTTAGTAGAAGCGAAGGCAGAAACAGCTCCTAATATGGTTGCTAGACGCTCAACTGCTTCGAACTTCTCCCAAACGTTATTGCTGTTTGTTGTGTTTATTTAGCTACATAATGTTGTTTTTTTTACTAATGTTCTGCACCAAACTTCTAAAGCAAATTTGCACTTGAATTAGGATACATCTGAAGGTAACTGGTTGTGCTAGAGCTTATTTAGGGGTATCTAACACAATACATATGCACACCAGAGATTTCATATTTTCTATTTCAAGAGTCTTTTTGACAACTCAGCCTCATTTTACTTCTGTTTTATAGTAATGGACAACTTTTATTAGTCTTTTAGTTTATTATTAAAATACAAATAAAAAAAGCTCAACATTTTGGCCTCAACAAGACAAAATTCAAAGAATATAAATATAAATACTCTGGTAAAGCACTGTAGCAATATAAAGGAAATACATGTAAAATGTTTTTCCCAGGTTAATAAACACTTTAAAATGTGTTTCCTGTGCAAAGCTGTCGAAGCACTAATTTTAAAATGTTTAAATTCACAGCTCGACCTCCACCTCTTGACCTGCGAGGCCTATCCACAATCAGTGAATTTCCAACTCATATTCCTCTAAGCAGCGTGATGACCGAAACATGGTGAGAACAAACACATATCTAAATTAATGCACATTATATGGCAGATCTGTTACAAAAATGGGTTTGAATGTGATAAAACCATTCAGGATTAAACATTCCCTCTAAACACCTTATTCACAATTTCGCCCAAACTATTAATAATAATGTATTATCTTGAATCCAACTTTATGGTCAACAATAAGAAAAGCATACAAATGATTAGAAATACTTGGAATGGAATATTTGCAACGGTCATGTTTTTTTCTTTAATATGGATAAAATTTCTCTTTGTTTTTAACCACAGCTTTGCACTGAACCACTTACCTCTGGACAGAAGGCTTGAAAATGAGGACAGTTCAAGAGACGAAGTGGCAAACTGCTCGGCACTGGTAAAACCTGTGTTCATGAAAGTTTTTATGTAAAAGAGAGACAAGAATAGAAAACCATATGTGTGGAGGTTTTTTTAGTCTAAATGTTGTTTTAAGAGAAGTTATTTACTTTTACAGTAACAACAACAGCAATAATAATGGTTATTGTTAATATTATTATTGTTGTTCTTATTCTTAATATTATCATTATAACATCAAACAGCAGTAGTTGTATAGAACACATCCATAAAATACAATTACATTTTAAAATATAGAAAAATTATTATCGAGTTCCCATTTGAAACTCAGCATGTTAATTCAATTCATTTCAGTTTATTTATATAGCGCCAATTCAAAACACACGTAATCTCAAGGCATTTTACAGTTCACCAGATCATACAGTCAAATTGATTCAA